TAATTAAATTTAATTAGGGTTACGGTTAGGGTTACGGTTAGGGTTAGTCAGAAAGATCTGAATGATCCAGGTCAAAGAGAGGTCAAACTGCCAGGCATTTAGGAAATCGAAGGCCGTCCCCGGCTGCCGGCCATATAGCCACAGCCTATAAAGAAGGTATATAAGCATGAAAAGTAAACAGAAACACTAATTGTATTTTCATACATTTTATTTTGTACAAATAATTACACACAAATATACTACTTGATGGTACTAGAAATTAGTGACGTAATCACTTTAAAAGAGAATACTGTTACCACAGCTGAAGGATTTTGCATAAATGGCAAAAGTTTAACAGAAGCTTTGTGAAATGCAAGTTCTCCATTCGCTAAAGTTATCCGCTGAATAGCAAACAACGATCTCTTATTTAAATGTAGCGCAGTTCCTCTGCAAGCACTACAATTGACCTACAGGCTGCAGGGTCCCAAGTCTAGTTTGCACAATGTACAGATGTACAGATAGACACAGTTGTGTACCGATTTATAAGCAGCAAACACTTACAAACATATACTATGTGTGGTCACAGATAATAAACAGATAAAACACTTAATTAGCTCTGACTCACATGTGGTACACTTAAACTCTGGCTATGTGCATGCATACATGCGTGCATGCGAAGGTGTGCCAGTTGGCAGTGTGTTCACAATTTGGGTGTTATAAATAAGCCTGAACATGGTATATAGGAGTTAGAACTTAGAAGTGTAGAAGTAGACTTTTCGCCAGTTTTCGCTATTGCAAAAGGTCTGGACAGAATTTTAGGTATGGTGATGTACACAGCCTAGATAAGATGTCACAGGTCTGCAAACAGGTTTACCGGTGACGGGTTTTTAAAAAACTTGTTTGCAGAGCTCATGATGTTGTTATCTTGGTATTTATGCTTCTGCGCATAAACCTGTATAAATTTACGCAGGTGTATATTTAGTGTGTCTGTGTGATCTGATTGTTGTGTGTCCAGCTTGCCTGGGCAAAGGCGCTTAGAACACAGCCAGTAAAAACTGAAAATGTGATGTCAACTTGCTTTCTTTTACAATTTATTTATAACAGCAGCTGGTTATGCCATGCTTCGTAGCGAGTATGCTGTACCATTTATCTATGTATTCGTTATAGAGAGTGATAGGTTAAAACACGTAGTAATTAAAGTTCGTTAATGAGTTCAGAAATTCAGAAAATTTGCATATATTGTAAAATGTGCGCATGACAGTTACTGGATGAAAATGCTAAAAGTGGCCTTATGGACATGTCTATTCTATAGAGATGGTTTTACTGTATTATTGAAAAGTATCCAGAGAGACATGATACAAGATTGCGGGGCACAGCTTTGCTGTTGATCCTGAGCGCTGCGCGCGGATGAGACGCGCAGTTCCGCAGGATATGCGCACGCGACCGCGGGGATGTTCAAGTATGAAGCGCTGTCCGCAGTGGAGACGTGCGCCAAATTTGAGGCCCGGTTCACGTCTTTACAGCGGTCAGCGGATGGTCTGTAGTTTTAGAAGATAACAATGAAGACTTTGTTCTAAATAAGAACTATCAGCGGCTAAATAAGAGCAATATACAGACCTTTGAATTTCTTGACTAGTCAGTCAAAGGGCTTGTTGGGGGTCCATTATGCAGAGCTTCCAATTGAAATGGCCCATGAAATTGTCAAGTGGAATTGTGTTTTTCGGAACCCCAAAGAAAATGTCTCCCTCAGTCTTACATGCACCCCCTCCCTGATCAATCACGCATTCAGGCGTAAACAATAACAGAGATGAAATTGTGTTGAGTTTATGGCTCTTGACGCGCGTGTATTGACGTACAAGACTGATGAATGCACAGGCACTTGGAACGTCTCAATAAAAATAAATCTTCACACAATTTTTCACAATGATCGACCGCGTGTGTGCAAAATAGGTGAACGTATGTGAAACATATACGGTTAGTACTTGCTGTGTAATATCCGTTACTAACTGACACCACTAAATTGGTAAAATGTTCCATGCACCTTAAGAAATGCTGAGAAATTACGAGGTTATCATCGCAGAAATCCCGACACCGCCCATCCTGATGTCACAAAGCTATATGTAAACAAACACGCGTGCAACTTAGGGATTTTCGGAATTATTTAATTTAAAAAAAAACTTCAATGATCAATGAATGACGCACTCGTTCACTTCCGAAAGCGGGTAAAAATGCCTAATTTTTCCACTTCGGTGCGAAATGCATCGGCCGGGCCTTTTATTATTTACGAAAAGCAAACAGTCTCGCCAAGCACCTACACGCAGTAACGGGTCACGTCGTTGATGCCCCATTCATGTCCATCAACGAAGAAGGCGGGGCTTATTCTGATTACGGAAATGCGAAAAATGCAACAGAATTTGGAACAGGACGTAGCGCTGCGCGCTAAACAGTGTGTTATTTTCGTATTTGTGCTAAACTCTATCGTAGGAAACCGTTCTAGCCTAGCAGAATGCCCTAGTTCCTGAGATCGGCGATTTGGTGGTCCAATGGATCCCCATATTTAAAAATATAAGACACTGCATGGTGCGGCATAGGCTGTGATTGGAAGACATGCACAAAGTGTCAATCCTTGGCGCGCCTCGGCATCATGGCCGCATCACGTCAAGAATGTTTATACAGATGGCTGTTCTGTAGAGGTTGCCACTAGCTAACACAGATTCGGCTGTAAGTGTGTTTAAAAACACAATCTTCCGTTCTCTCCATGTTATACTGATTGCTGACACTGCTTGTGGCTGTGGCACCCTACGAAGGTGATTCACACGACCAATGTCACCTGAACAGGACGCGGAATCGGGCAGCAGGTTACAACGTCACAAACAGGTGCAGATTAAAACTAAAAACTTATTCTTAGATTTTCCTCGATTTCTTTTTGCACTTGCTGAAATATGAAAACAGTTCTGGCTACGGCATATGAGCTGGAAGTAACAATGAATATTGCTTAATTACCAAAAAACACAAGCAGTATAAATATATATTGTGCAGCTGGCACCGTCTATTCAGATAGTATCACTCAGGAGTCTTTTGATAGACTCCTGATAGTATGTATAGATGCAGGCTGAACGGCTGTGTAAATTCTGTTTACAGAAGCGTGATCTGAGAGCCATGATGAATTTTAGAGTGAAGAAGCGACCGATGCTGATAGCCTGCTCTGCGGCTGTGCTCATTCTGCTAGTTCTTCATGGCAGCGACAGGTTGTGCTGGAAGCAATGGAGCATTGGTTGGCATATCTTGCCCCTTAACCTCGGCGAGCTCAGCGAAGAAGCAACAGTGTTTAGAACGACACGGTAGGTTCTTCTATCGATTTGTCTCCTGTCTGCGTAGTTACACCTATCAAAATGAGTTTAGTCTGCGTTTGACTTGTATTGGTGGAAAATATGTAGAGTATATGTTTATCACGTGCTGTTGTGTATACAGGTAAAATGTTCGATACATACAGTTAATCGTAGTTGAACGCTTTCTAGCATGAATGACTTTTCCCACTTTTAAATATCTGTACATATCTATATCTATATGTCTCTCTATCTGTGTGTCTGCCTGCCTGTCTTTCTGTCTGTCTGTATGCCTGTATGCCTGTCTCTCTCTCTCTCTCTCTCTCTCTCTCTCTCCTCTCTCTCTCTTCATGCTCTCTCTCTCTCGGCTCGCCGCTCGCGATCGCAGCCGCACGCACGCACGCACCCACCGCGCACAGCACAGGCACGCCGCACGCACGCATGGCGCAGCACGCACGCCACAGACCACAACACAACACACGGGCCCCACCAGGGCCCGCGCAAGGCCCCGAACACAGCACACGAGCCGCGTGGCGACGACTCTCTCTCTCTCTCTCTCTCTCTCTCTCTCTCTCTATATATATATATATATACATAAGCCAAAGTAATTACAATCAAATTAAAACTGAGATTAAAAAACATCACATTCATGCTGTCGGTAATTTGGAACGTCAAAACGTCTACCACATGTACACTCTTTTTCTCTAAACCTGCCTTGGCAAAATACAGGTCCCATCTCGATGATTCGTCTAAATTCAGTCATCTTGGCTCTCATCTCTCGCAGCCTCAGCTCACATCTCCATACGCATGTCAACATGCAAAAATGTCTGCATTTATATTGGAATCACGTACAGACAGACTGTACAAGTGCCACGATATGTGTTAGGATATGTGCACATATGCATTCTTTAGTATTTATTTTCTATTGAGAATACATTAAACTTCGGTGTGTATAATATAAATAATACAATACATAAAATACTATATAAGTATCATGTCGTATTTCATCTCTCGCAGCTTGCCCGATGATCTGCCGCGGCACATGGCGACGGTGGGCAATGGTTTTCTCGGACACGTCGTGTACGCAGACAACATCTACGTGAACGGCGTGTACAACGGCGCGCGTGGTGACAGCCATCGCGCCCGCGTGCCCTCCACCTGCGCTCTACGCCTCGCCGTCGACGGACACGCGGCAGCTTCATCGAGCTACGCGCTCGACGTGGGGAAAGGTGCGCGCGTGATCAAGGGACCGTGGCACGAAGGTCACTGCTCGACCTTGTGAAATCCCCCTGAGTGTGATCCTGTCACAACTACTCCACACACAACCATGGCATAACTGTCCCCATGCCTGACACTGATATGATTGGCCCATGAATGACCTTTACATGAGTGCCCCATGAATGACCTTGAATGCTTCGTGAATGACCTTGAATGTCCCTGAATGACCTTGAATGCCTCGTGAATGACCTTGAGTGCCCATAATTGTCCTTAGCATGATTACCCAGGCACATCCCAATGTACATTATAATTATAATAGTTGTGACACAAATATATTATCACCAATGTCCGATCATTATTCATTAATTTGAGCATTATTTCGTTGTAGGAGTATTCACCGAGACAGTCGACCATGAAGATTTCAAGCTGGAATACCGAATATTTGCTCACAGGAAGCATACAAAACTGCTAGTATGCCAAGTATCTGCAGAGGCAAAGAAACCTGGTTAGTTATATGAATCTGCATAGATGGCTACATATAATGTGTCTATAGCTACTCATCCTCATTAGAATATGGTTCCTATATGTGGAATATAATGTGCCCTGTATGGTTTTCCACACTATTGGTATTCTTTTTATGTATTACGTTATTGGTAAATCCATTGTAATATCTGATTGCAGGAAAATTTCAGATTTGTTAGCGATATCGAGAAACATATCTATACATGTGTATAAATGTTTTATTGCTATAATGTATGGTTCTTTATATGTGAGTGTGCATGTGAGGTATATATATTACTATATTATATTATATTATATTAGGTGACCTGTGGAAAGCTCAATGAACTATTCCACTAAAGCTCTCACACAGGCTGTGTTACAAGGACAAGATATCATAATGAGATAGCAATCCTCAATGTAAATCTAATCTGCAGTGTTAATTATTACACAGAATTCTTTAGTGTTTATAAAACAATTCTGATATGCCTTGCAGGTCTTGTGTTACTAACAAAGAATAACCACGGTAATCTCTCTGTGGACTTTGACATTATTAAGGATGTTATAAAGGGGTAAGTTTAACATGATAGTAATGTAGATATCATATTGAGAATTTGACACATTAATAACAAGCATTCTTAGTTCAGACAGATAGTATCATTATTATAAAAGTTACTGAATAACGACGACTTATAGCAATCATTTTGCAGTGGCTACCTTGTTACTCAGATTGAGATAGACGCTACGCGATAAGATTTTTTTTATCAAACCTATATTTTTTTGGTATGTTACATTATCAATCTTTGCAGGGCAACAAGGGAACAACATTTATGGACAAAAGTAGCTGAAGAGATCCCTGGTTCTGAAAAAAAATACCTACCACCGACGCTCACTGACGTCTATCTTGTCTATGATGAAGTCCCGGAGCGGCTAGAACTGCAGCAGGGGCATAACAGCTGGACGTGGATCACGGCTATATACATAGATGAAGCGGATGCAAGTGAGTGACCGCTCTCTTTCTCATGATGTGCTTGCATGAGCTCACTCGTAGGTCGGAGCAAGATAATCACTTTCCTTGTTGGAACATCATATTGTTGTTGGGTCGGTTAATCTAGACTAGCTTGTATGCGTTTTTCACATGCTCGTGACAGATTTCCGAGAAAGGTTGTTGAAGGCTATCTAGCCTGATGGTGGGAATCTGTGTTACATCTCGCACGTATATAGATGTTTTTCTGTATTACACACCGGACGTGTTGTATGATTTCCCCCTGTGTTTCAGCGGAGGCGTACGTAGAGGGACATGCGACGACACCAGACGTGTTGTATGATTTCCCCCTGTGTTTCAGCGGAGGCGTACGTAGAGGGACATGCGACGACACCAGACGTGTTGTATGATTTCCCCCTGTGTTTCAGTGGAGGCGTACGTAGAGGGACATGCGATGACACCGGACGTGTTGTATGATTTTCCCCTGTGTTTCAGTGGAGGCGTACGTAGAGGGACATGCGATGACACCGGTCGTGTTGTATGATTTCCCCCTGTGTTTCAGCGGAGGCGTACGTAGAGGGACATGCGATGACACCGGTCGTGTTGTATGATTTCCCCCTGTGTTTCAGTGGAGGCGTACGTAGAGGGACATGCGATGACACCAGACGTGTTGTATGACAGCCACGTAGCCGGCTGGCGTGAGATATGGGACACGGGCCGCATAGATGTAGAGGGTGACACCAAACTCGCACAGATCATCTACGGATGCTTCTACTACCTGTACAGCTCACTGCCGACGCGCGAGGATCCCAAGTGGTCTTTCTACGGCCTCAGTCCCGGCTCACTGAGCCACGGTGCAGAACATCATGTGAGTGTTTTGGGAACCATGAGTAGAAGTCTTGTGAGGATTAATTAGAACAAAGCGAGGACAACTGTATATGCTGTTACTGCATTATCTAAAGTATATTCCTGATCTGTAGTTGTTCTTAGGATTACATGTGTCACAGAAATTATTTATTTATTTGTTTATTTAATTAATTGTTTATTTATTTATTTATAACTCTATTTATTCATGTGACAGGACTATCAGGGTCACATATTCTGGGACCAGGAGACGTGGATGTATCCACCTATATTGATGATGCAGCCACAGATGAGCAGACTACAGCTGAAGATAAGGCTGGAACATCTGCAAGAAGCACTGAATAAAGCGCAGAACTATAGTTATAGTGGAGCCATGTTTCCCTGGGAAAGTGCATATACAGGTATATGACAATACATTACAGTTCCAGAGTAGAAAGTAAAATTTATTTCTAAATAAAGTATATTAATATACAGTCCGACCTCCTTTATCCGGCCATCCGTTATCCGGAAATCTCTATTAACCGGCCGCGATCTTGCAGTGTTTGTTCTCTGTTTTTCATTCATTTCCACCTAAAAATCTCGCTCAAAACTTGCCCAAAGCTCACTCACAACTCGCACGATGTACCAACCGTACGTGTGTTTGCGTGTGTGTGTGTGCGCGCGCGCGTGTGTGTGTTGTCCGCTCGTGTCCGCTATGCCTCCGGTAAAATTTCTGTTTTATTTCATTTTATTTTCATTTCATATAAACCATAAAACACGACAGTTTGTTACAATAATCATAGCAACAAGTAAATACATTATCACATGCATAAACCCTACTGAACTGCATGGAAATGCTGTGTTTGAGCATAACTCTTATATTCGGCCAAATCCCATATCCGGATGGGTGCCGGTCCCGACGTGGCCGGATAAAGGAGGTCGGACTGTATTGAATATTGGTTATGATGCCGCATTCACAGATATATAGTAGCAACCTTCCATTATGAAAAATGCCAATTGGAGCCAATAAATCAATGAGTACAAAGATTCATAACTATTAATTTCCAGGTGAGATTACGTGTACACGTTGTCACGGTTGCTGTCTCATGACATTTACTATGCTTCTAGGTGAGGATGTATGCCCCTGGTATCCCGGATCTGCTCTAGAGCAGCATGTGACTGGTGACATAGCGTTTGCCTTCTGGCAGTACATGCACATGAACACAGACAAAACGTTCATCAATTCTGCAAAGGATCTCATCATGGAAATCGCAAATTTCTGGGAGAGTCGTGCACTTTACAACAAAACTAAGGAGAGATACGAGATACATGGTACGCACATGAATTCCAATATTAAACAGAAAACCACTGCTTTCCAAAAATGAGATGAAATCTATGATATAATATTGTATAATTTAAAAGCTTATGTGTAGGTCCATGGATTTAGTAAAATACAACTGGAACAATCTGAATTAATTTAATACAATAATACCAGGTTGAGAGATATCTGATGAATACAATATGAATTGTGAATACAATTAAACCTATATATAAGGATTACTCCTGGGAAACATCAAAAGTGTCAGGACTTTATCGAGACGAGTTTGTTCTATAGAGGTGATTTCACTCTGAATATGCCACTCAGGAGAAACGTCCTTTGTATATATAGCTGTCCATTCTGTAGAGGTGTCAACTCGGGTTTCACTGTATGTTAATATATGTTGTACTATATGACTAGATTGATATTAGCACGTGGATATTGAAGGGCGGAGGTTCTTGCTCTTGGCAGACGTGATGGGGCCGGATGAATGGCATTACCCGGTCAACAACTCCTGCTACACGAACACCATCGCACAGATCAGCCTGCGACTTCCCTCGGATGCCTTCCCAGACTCGCCGCGCCTGAAGCAGAAGTGGATAGACATTGCTGACCACATGTACGTGCCCTTTGATGCAAAGAGGAACTACCACCCACAGCACGACGGCTACGACCCTGACGAGAGAGACTATAAGAGCAAGATCAATAGCACAATACCAGGTACGTGCGCAGATGGAGACATCTGGTGGTGTTGAATGGTTCACTTCGTAAAGTCACAAGTTAATTTACAAACTAGGTATGTTCTGATCCGATGAACAACAAAATGAAAAAAAGTGAGCTCTGCTTTCATTTCAGAATTTATGGTGAAGCAGGCAGACGTTGTGCTACTAGGATTTCCACTGATGCAAGAGTCTGATGAAGTGGTGAGACGCAATGACCTCGTCATATACGAAGATGTAAGTAGTAAGTTTACACATTACACATGTAAACAACCTCTATCTCATGCATATGACTACTGCCCAGGATGACTAGATGGAGCCAATCTACCTGCCAACATTACTGATGATAGCTTACCTGTCAACATTATGGTGGTTGCTTACCTGCCAACATTTCTGATGGTTGCTAATCTGCCAACATTTCTGATGTTTGCTTACCTGCCAACATTTCTGATGGTTGC